ACAGACACACCCCAGACCTGCAGTGCTGCCCTTTTTTCAGTGTTTCGTTTTGAGGAGCGGGGTTCCCTCAAATGTCAACTGCCAAGAGAACTGCCTTGTTCGCCAGGTCCAGTGAGAAACTGCCAACAAAAGGGGACCCCCCCCAGAGGTTTGGGGGACACCCGCTGCGCTGCGATCAGGGAAAGCGATGAATAAGAAGAGAAAACTGTGGCCTTTGGAAGAGGAATCCTTGTTTTTTTTGGCAAGGGAGGGGGGGTCAGTGGTGTAGTCTTGAAAGGAGAAGTTTCAGGGTCTAAATGTTTCCTCCTTTCCCCGTTTGGAAGGGCATTTTACACGAATCCCCACCCCCTTGCAACGGATGTCACTGGCTGATTTCATTCATGGCTCCATTTTCCTTCTGTGGTTCGTTCATGGGCCCGCTGAGTCATGTGTATTGGTCACTACATCAGAAGGATTTTCTGCGCAGGCCCCACGTTTGGTCGGATGACAAGCAAATGCCTGGAGGTCATGATCAAGTGCAGCTTGCAAGAGGACGGAGCCGAGTTTCCTTCGAATGCTCGCCTCATAGCAGCCCAGACCTGCTTCCAAGAATGAGTTTGTTGGGTAAACAACTTTCTTCTAAGTCCTTAAGGGAATCCAGTGGGGTGCTTGTACGCCAAGCCTGTTTAACATGAGGACCGGCACCATGGCCTGGAGCAAAACATACATGCACCTGAACAGACTTGCTCGCCTGGACAACGTTTTGCAAGGCCCAAAGCCATCCTGGGCTTTGGGCTTACTTCGTGAGTTTCTGAAATTTGACCTTGGTTACCCTTGGCCAATCCAGGGCGCATGGTGTCATCCTTACCGACAGGAAAGGGAGTTGGGCCATTCCATACTTGGCCCAGTTGCCCAGTGCCCTTTTTCATGTTTCTTGGGAAGCGTTCCCTTTAAACTCGGTTGCCCCCAGACTCTCCTTCTGAGCCTTGAAAGACGGTTGGTCATTACCCAAAGGCCGACGCAACGTCAGGACCCCTACGCTGAAGCCAGCGACCTGCCGGGAGGCGGTCAGAGTTTGTTCGTTGGGCTTGGTCTGCGGATGTGGTGCTTGACATGGTGCCCTCGTTTCGGGGGGGGGGGGCGTTTTGAGGGACTCTAGGAAAACATTTGTTTGAGGTAGTTGTTTGTTTTTTTCAGGGTTTGTTTATTGGTTCGTGACGTTTGGCCCGCGTTTCGGGGCGTTTTGAGGGACCTGCTCTAGGAAAAGGAGCGGCAGGAAAGTCACTTTGCGCTGAACATCAAAGCTACTGCTTGCTGTGACTGTTTTTTGGTTGCTTCGCTGGTTCGGTTTATGTTAGGAGGGGCTACGAAGAATCAGAAACACCAAGATTTGCTTGCCAGGGTCAAGAATGTTTGGGAGCGCCAATTTATTGTTTTTGGCCAGTGTCATCAAGTACAAAGGGACCCGTTTGGGTCTGTCTTTTTTGAGGGTACCGAAAGGGCAGCCAAAAGGAAAACCATCGTTTTGGGTTCCCTTGACAAATGCACCCACTTTGGTTTTTTGAAGGGCGCTCGCCGAGTCATGTGTGTGGTCGGAATGTTCCGGCCCTCTTTTCCCAGCGGCACACAAAAAAGCGGTGGGGCGAGGTGCCCCGAAGCGGGTATTGTTCGTGGTTACATGGTTAAATGGCTGTGTGACAGGCTGGTACCAACATTTTGCACCTTGGCAGATGGAACCAAAGGCTGAAACCTGCGTAACCCCAGTTGCATAATTCTGAGGTACACCTTTGATTTGGGTGTAGAGGCTGATTGCGAATGTCATAAATCTGCTTCCCTTTAAAAGGGGTGGTTTGGAGTCCTGTGGCTAAGTGCTTGAGGGGTTTCCCATTTACCCTCCAAAGAACCACGGCTTCAATTCCCCAACACCTATCCAAGCCACCAAAGAGCTGGTGTTTGAGTAAACATAGGTAATATGTTGTTTGGTGTGTGTGTGTTATAGGTCTTTGGACAAAGTACGTACCGAGCGTCGACTTTGGATCAGTTGATCTTTTGTTCGGCCACCAGGTAGCAAGATGTGCGGTCCGATCTTGGACCTTGAAGTCTTGCTTCTGGGTTCCCGGAAGGCTTTGTTTGCCGGTGCCAAGCAGTGGCAAGATCTTAGGTGGGCCCCCCCTTCAAAGTCCACTAAACATTGTCAGCCCAAGGGTTCGCTTTTTCTTCCGGGGTCGCTGAACTGGGAAGCCAAGCAAAGCAGGAGGCCTAGCCCATGGGAAAACGCCGGGCAAGGAAGGAGGCAACCAAACAGCATGTGGCTCCTTTTGCTTCAGCCTGTGGTGTGTTCATCGTTTTGCCCTTGCAACGGTCAAACACACCGGCATGACTAGTCAACTCAGCAGATCAGAAACTCGTACCGGCGCTTCGTCAAGGCTTTGTGGTGCACCCACTTGGGGCGGGTGCTTTTTTGTCTTCCATTTGCTTAAGGATATGTTTTATAGTGTGTATATATATATATATATATAATTGTTTCCCCTGTTGGTTTTAAAGGGAATCGATTTCACTACTGGACATATTTTCTTATTTGTTCCAGGGGTCGAAAAACCAAATGGGAGTCGTGTACTCATTTTCTTGCGGTCCTGCCTCGCAGGTGTGAAGAAAAAATGTGACTAGGTCCCAGCTAGGTGCCCTTTTACCGACTTTTTGGGGGAGGGCTCCCCTACTAAAATAGGCTACAAAAAAAGTTGGTACCCTTTCGAACCTCTCTAGAGGACCTGGGTGACGTATCACAGCATTTGGCTCCAAGATCTCGGTTCCGGCTCGCAAACATGGGCTGCTGCGAAGGGAAGCTTCCTCACCCGGATGACTTTCTGGCGCCCCACACTCCGCGGGGGGGCCTCCCCTTCCTTCGCTGCCCCTCAGCTTATCGTGGCAAAAAAATGCCACATGCCTGGCCGGGGCAAGACAAAAGGGCACCGTGCAGGGGTCCCAACTTGGTGGCAGCCAGCGGATTTTAGATGGTTTGTTTTGGGTTTGTGGTAGTTTGCCTTGAACCCCGCGAACAGTTCTTCACTTTTAGCAGAAAATCTCGCGGCGCTCAGCCGATATTTCCCTTTTTTGGCGTTTTAAGCCTCACTTGATGCGGTGAGTTTCCTTTGGTCGGTGATGGTCACAAGGTGCGACCCGAAGGGTTGGCAACTGCTGTTCTCTACGGGCATGGGGTCCGTTCCAGCCAGACTGTCCGGATGGTGTTTCCCGTGTACCTTGAGCAAGGTACGCAATGGTTCTTCCAATGAATCTCAACTGTGGGTTTTCCTTTGCCCGCTATCTTACCCCAACAACATGCTCCAGAGCCCTTCAGAACCTGGGGTACGGGTTAGTTTTGGATCCACTTCTGGAAGGGTGAGTAGCGACCCGGTCAAAAATATGCAAACCTCTTGCTTTAGGCCATTTGGTTGGATCTTTGGACTTCAACGTGTTGGGAAACAGTTTGATGGTCCATTGACCCCACAAAAAGTAGAAACACTGTTTGCAGAGGGGTCGATATCTTCGGAGATTGCCCCGCCTTGAGTCTTCGGGGCTTGCCATTTCTGTAGAGATTCCTGGATTCCACGTCAACCACAGCGTTTCCTTGGGATTCTCGGGATGGCTCTCAGTCGCCTGGGCGCCTGGAGCCGTCCAAAGCCTTCAGATTCTCTGGATGGGTTAGTCTCTCAGTCTACTGGGCGCTCAGAGCGAGCCGTCCAAGTCCAAGGTATCTTTGGTGCATGTTGCTTGGATGTGAGGACTTTAACTTGTTGCCAGCTAATGGGGTTTCCGTATTAAACCACTCAAAGTTAAACTTCTAGCATTGCAGAATTATCGGCTAGCTATCGGGTTTTCCGTATTAAACCACTAAAAGTTAGTTGCTATTTGCAGGGCAGCAGAGAGCAACCGAGGTATGCCGCCCAGCTTGAGAAGTCCCCATACCAAGTACTTGGCGACCCCATGGAGCGTCTGCCTCAGCCAGCTCGACTATGACGAGGGGGTCGGCAGCCACGAGAGGCGCGGGAATAGAGAGCCCAGGGTTCGTTTATTGATATATATATATATATATATATAGGTAAACACATCGCTATAATATGGTCTTGTTTCTTTTTTGGGGGCACCCTTTCTGAGCTGTTTTAAACTGACACCAACCGGACAACCACAACTTAGTCATTTATTGAAAGCATTTCAGAGGTAGGCTTTATTCATGGAGTTCCATTCTTCCCGCGAAAGGGAATTCTGGCAATTACTTCTACTTTTGGTGTACAGGGTTGATCGCCATGCGCGCCCAAAACCTTCAAAACCTTTTGAGGTGCTGACTGGAACCGGACTTGGAAGTTTGAGCCAGGGACTCGACCGCAAGTGGTTGTTGGTTGCTTTACCAGGTCCCCCAGCTAGGTGCCCTTTTACCCTTTTTTGGTTGGGAGGGTTCCCCTACTAAAATGGACTACAGAAAAAGATCGGGTACCAACTTATTCTAACCTCTTTAGTGGAGGACCTAGATTATCTTCTTGTCGCATGTTTCGGGCTGCCTTCTGTTCGGGCGCTGAAGCTCGTTGCCAACATTTGGCCCGCGGTTTTTTTGGTATTTGTTTTGGTCCAATTGGGGGGACGTGTATCAAGCCTGCCCCATTTCAGCCAGCGAAACAAGGGCTCGTTTATTTTTTTGTGGCAACTGGGCTTCTGAAAATAGGTCCCAAAAGGTTTGACCCGACCGAAGAATCCCAACTGAGGCCGGTGTGTTGTTGGTTTTGCCAGGGACCTCACACACACACCCTCCCCCCCCACCAAAGGGTTACGGAGAAAATGAGGAAAAACACGCCAAGCTTCCAGCCGATCATGGCATTCAGTAAGGATTGTAGGGGGGTTTTGGCTTGGGGCTTGGTAGGTCGGGGTTGTGCTTGGGGGTTGGTAGGGTCGCGTGGCGTTCGGGAGAAGTCTTCGGATCGCTCCCCAGCTGGCTTGTCAGGATTGTGGTCCGCGAGATGCATAGCAAGGCGATGGTGATATGTTTGGACCTGTGTCCTCACCGCTCCTTCAGGCGCGCAGCCAGCTATCTCTGACGAGCAAACCATGATGTTGTGGCAGTGTGGTGGGATCTTTGGACTTGAACTCTGTTGCCCAGTGGTGCCCTTTTCCCCATGTGGTTGGATCTCTGGACTTGAACTCCGTTGCCCAGTGGTACCCTTTTCCCCATGTGGTTGGATATTTGGACTTGAACTCTGTTGCCCAGCGGTGCCCTTTTTTCGTTTTTTGGGGTGAGGGTTCGCCTTTGAACTCACTCAACAAAAACAGGGTGCCCTTTTTTGCCCACGTTGACTGGGCATTTGAACCGGGGGTCCTGCCATGTTTCCTGGAAAGGTCTCCCAGCCAACCTTGGCTCGCCAGGAAGTTCAGCTTCATCCGCGACCCCCAGAACGAGCTCCTCGGCGCCATGCAGACCATGCAGAAGATCCGGCCTCGGGAGAGCCAGCGGAGCCACTACGCCCTCTACGGCCACGTGGCCCCGGTTTTTTTTAAGTTTTCCGCGGTGGGAAAGAAAGCATTCGGGCTGTGTCCGAATACGCGCCGTGATCGAACGTCAGGCGTTCAACAAATGGTTGTGTTTTTTTCGGGGACCCCACCAAAATGGTGGTTTTCCTCTCGGCTTCCCTTTTTAAAACCACCAAAAGCGGAGGTGTTCTACAAAGAAAGATGCACCAGACATGGGTGTATTTTCTCGAGTTGGTACCCTTTTTGGGTGGGTTGAAAGGGAAAGTCGAGGCCAACCACCAGTTCTCTCCCCAAAACCTCCCCTGCCGTTTTTTTGGTAGGATCCCATTTGGATCCCTTTGGTCACCCATTCGTGGGGAAAAGGAGCAATATCGCCTATGAAGGTGCTTTGCTTGGGGGTTCCCTTATTTCCAGCTTAGGAATCATAGCATTTGACCAGACCGCTTTTGAAGTTGATTAGCATGTGGAGATTCAACTACGGCCCAGATTCAACCTGCACATGTTTGGTGGCAAACAGCTAAGCAAGCTATGGCCCGAGCACATCCATGAAGCCGCCCCAAGGGTTGCAGATCTCTTTTTTCCCGGGCATAGGGTAGAGCTTGCCCCAGTGTGACTCAGTGTGCGCTTTGTTGGAGCTGCTTTGCGGACCGTCAAGGCTTCAGTGAATCGACCCGAAATCACCTTGTGGTTTTGGTACATATTTAGTCAAGATTCCAAAAGCTTGGCCTTGGATTTCCAGGTCCTTTGGGCAGATAAACCATGAATTCGGCCCCATGTGATCCCAGAGCTCTCCGTAAAGGCCACTACTCACCGAGGGCCCAAGGGGCAGTCAAACACGTCACACCCTTTGATTCTTTTGGTTGGGCCTGGTTAGCAGGTTCTAGGCTGAGTTGACTGAACCACTTCCTTCGACGCCTCATCATGTTTGCTTGCATGACAAGGGTTGGAGAGTGTTGCTTCCGTTGCGCTTCAATACTTCTTGGGGAAGACGGTTTTGGTGAGAAGCAACAAGTCTTGACTTTCTTATTTTTGCCAGTCCGCTCAGGAAGTGAGGGCCCCTCTAGGGCAACCCCCTCAATGTCTTTATGAGAAACACCTGAGTTAAGTTTCAGGGAAGCACCCCCCTTTCGACCTTGTTGGACGGGTCGTCGGTTTTGTCTCCGCCGCTCTCTGAGGGTGTTTGATTTCCCCGCTTTACCCGAAAAGGTTCGGCTAGATGGACGGGTTTTTTAATTGTGGTGTGGTTTCGAGCTGTTGTTTGTTGGTTCCAGCAGGTCTTTGTTGAAGCTCTTGCCACGTCAGGGAAGAAGAAGTTCCCCGCGGGAAGCACCCTGCACGTGAGGCAAGCAGCCTGTATCGGGCAGTCAGTCCATCACGTTGGAAGGCGAGAATCGGTTCGGCCGATTATTCCAGCCCCGATGATGCCAGCTGTGGTGAAAACAGTTTCGACGCCGAATCCATCTAGGCATTCCGGTTCTCACATTCTTTGACACCCTCAAAGGGGCAGCAGCCAGGGTTCCCTAAGGAGAGTGCAATCCCCAACAAAAAAATCCCTGCTGTATATGGGTGATTTTTTACATGGTTTTTGTTGGGCCCACATGGCATCCTGACTCTTGGGTTGGTGGGGAAGCTATGGCAAGGGCACAGTCTTCATACACACCAAGCAACAAGTGTCTGAGAAGGGCGGAGATTGATGGGAGATGTTGCCAGTTTTCTTTGTTTCTCCTTTCCGTTTTTTTTTTCTTCTTTTTTCAGAGCGTTTGCACGGTGCTTGGAATAGTTGCGCACTTAGCGGAGTTTCGAGGGGAACCAACAAGAAACCAAGTCCTAGTTAGGGCAACATTCTAACTACAAGTCCGCAATTTCCAAGAATTCACCAAGCCCGAATTCATTCCCTGCCCAAAACGAGCGAGTAATTCTATCAAACGGTTTGGATGCGGCTTTTGTGGATCCACAACTCTAGGATATTAAAAGAGTACTAAAAGTGTACTAAAAGAGTAGTAAAAATGAACCAGGGGGAAGAACTTTGGTGAAATCCACAAACAACACCTCCAAGCCCGTTTTCTAGAGTAATAGTTAAAAAAATAAGAAAAACAAAAAAAACAGCTTCTGGAGGGTTGTTGCATGTCTCATCGTTTTCCGGAAAAAAAAAAGAAAACAAGGAAACACAACGAGCAAGTCATAGAACCCCCGTCACAAAAGCAACCTCCCGCGGCGTGTTACCCCAGTACCCGCCTTTGAGTCCGTTGAGCCCCTGCACGGAGCGGAGCCGTTGGTCTCGTGTTAAAAAGGAATTCCAGGGTGGCCGGCTGGCTTCCATTGTTGCTGACGTTGTTTTTTTTGTTTTCAAAAACAAAACAAACTTTTTTTTGGTTTTGACCTATTGGTTTAAAAAGGGGATCATCTATGACTACTGGAACTCTGTGTTCATTTCTTGGGGACTTAGGCAAACGCAGGCTGGATGCGCTTGCTTCGCTTGGTATGATTGAAACACACCCCCCAAAGATCTCCCCCAACCGAGGCCTTGTTTGGACCTGAGGCTAAAGGCCCAATTCGCGGACCGAGGGTGGCAAATCGCACACCCAAATCACCGTCACGGTGAGCGTGTATTGGTGTGTTTTTTTAGGGGACCAGCCAAAACGGCTTCGAAGCTTTCCTGCTTCGATTCCGCAAGCAAAAGGATAGCCTCAACGGAACGGTAGGTTTTCTGAAGGGAACCAGCCGTTGGAAGGACAGACGCTCTACCACTGGGCAACCTTGACACGGCCTGCCTTTTCCTTTGATGCAAAGATGCGAATGGCGCCTTGGGTCGGACAACCGGCGAGTGTGCGCGCGAACATGTTGGATGCCGGACATGCATGTGCACAGTTATGCATGTTAGACAAGCGGATGCACTTGTGTTGGTTGCTCTATGGGCAGGCGCGTGAATCATATGAGCTCATACGCAATGAGCCTGTGAGGGTTTTTGGAATTATGTCTCTAGGGGTTGATTTCCCATTCTTTTCAACCATCGTTCTTTCCAAAAACCAGCCGTTTTCCCTGGGTTTCCGGAGGTTTTCTAGAAAGATTCGGATCGATCCCTGGAAAGAATGGAAATGGAAGGTGCCCCTAGACATTTGTTTGGTCCAGTGGCCAACTGGGTGGCTCGTCCTTTGGAGTTGGTACAGTACCCTTTTTCGGAATGACAAGGTAGACCACAAATCTTCCCCAGAATTAGCTCCCCCTTCTTACTTTTTTGCTTTTTTGGGGTTCCCTTTGTTTTCCACTTTTTGCTGGGGTCCCAATTCCAGCCAAGAAATCAACCAGCCACGTATGCTTGCTTGCTTGCTTGTGTTTCTGCGGGCTTGCCACAAGTGGTGAGCTGTGGCCCCGGCGGCATAGGAATGCCGTTGCAACCCGCTCGGGCTGCAAGACATGCGTTTAAAAACTCCTAGGTCCCCCAGTGCCCTTTTAACCCCTGTTTTGGTTGGGAGATTCGGTTCCCCTACTAAAGTAGACTACAGGAAAAAAAAAGGGCACCCTTATTCTAACCTGACTACTGGAGGACCTAGGCTCATTCAGATTTGCTCCCTTGAAGCCGCTAGCAACAAGCCTGTTGAGTTTTCACGGTTTTCAGCAGGCTGTGTTGTTTGATTCGTTGGTTCTGTTTATCCCAAGTGCAGCAAAGCATTGCGACCCCCGGGAATGTCCAAATGAACGAACCATTGAAGTGTACCTTACCTTGGGTGTGAAGAGAAAGGCAACATATGCTTGACCCTCCACCCTGCATGCGGCCACGCCGTTCTTTATTGTGGCAAGCTCTCCTTTTGCTGCGAACCGGTATCAACTCCTTTGAAGGCCAGGCGTATTTCTGTCCAACGTGTTGCCTTCGAAATTGGGCCAAGGGGAATTCAGAGGCGTTGTAGCTGGCTGGCAGCATGTTCACTGGCCTGGCCCAAGCCTGTTCAAGCCAGTCACTTGATCCCTGCCCCTCGCATACTGTGCATGATAGGGATGTCTTCCGAACCCATTCGCAGCTGTGCTAACGGGAGGGGTGTGGAATTTTGGGACCCTTGATTTCCTTGATCACTTCGGGGCAAATTTGAGAGCCTCACTTCAATAAATGGACCCTTCTAATTGTTATTTCTGCCTGATTACTTCGGATGTTGAAGCTGTAGGCTGGAACTCTCCCGTCCCGGGGAGCATGATTCCGGGCAGCCTCAGTTCACACTACCCGGACAGAGGTGCCATGCAAAATGGACCTACAACTAGGCTTGTGCGATCAAGGGGTGTATCCAACCACTCTGTGATACGAGGGACTCCCCTCTTCTGGGGGGAAATTCGTCCTTTGGGAGGCCCTTTTTGTTTTTTGTGTATCACAGAAGTGGATTCCATGTCAACTGCTGAATCGAGCCGTGGGGACCCAAGGGAATGCCAGAGACCTGTCGACTTCAAACCCCGGAAAAGATGCCCAGGTGGCTTTCCTAAGCTTCCAACATCTTCAAATCGCCAATCCAAATCGAAGCAAAGGGGGGCCCAAACGAGCTAAGGAGGGCGCCCTGAAGGGCGACCCCGCGCCTCGGATCGGAGAAGCGGGCAGCGTTCGGTTCGGCGGTTCGGCCTTGGGGTCTCCATGGCTGAAAGTCGGCATTGGAACCCCGAAGTTGGTCCGGCCTTTTCTCAGCGGGGAGCAAAAAAGGGAGCCCTCTAAGGGAGCCTTAGGAGCTTTCTCAGCCGCATGGAGCCCACAAAGCTCCAAACCAAGCCAATGAGAGGGAAGCTGCGAGATATTCAGCACTTGGATTAGCCCTACGGCCCTACCTGCGTCTTCTGTTTTTTGGGGCGATGCGAAGAGCAACGGTTTTGTATGGCTGACCCCATCCAGTGGTTTTGTGTTTGCGCTGGGAGGCCTTTGAGTGGGTCTCAAGCGGCATCCATCCGGGGGCAGCACTGGAAAGCATCAGATTGAGCCTACTTGGGGTCTGGTTGACAGCAATAGGGGCGCATTTGCCATAGGCTTCCGCAACTCCACACGCGTGGCTCTTACCTGGCAAGAAGCCTGTTCTGTCCAGGTTGGAAACACGAACTGGATGGACGAAATCCTGCACACTTTGAAATCAAAGGGAACCATTGTTGGTTGGTATTTGCGCAGGGGAATCATCATTCCAGGGTAGTGCCTGCTAGTGTTTGAAAGAGGGTCATACAGCTGCTCAACTCCGGCTATGGTCCAAAAAAGCCAAGGTAAAAAAGCTACCCTCAACACCCACCACGCACCAGTTGCCAATCTTCATGGGGATAAAGCCCAAGACCTTTTCTGGAAAGGTGCTTTGAAACATTTAGAAGGATGAGAGCAATTTTTTGGTGGGGGGGGCTCCAGACCCCTTGAATGGTTCTCCTCGATTCCATGTCAGGCCTGGACGATTTCGATGCAGCTTGGGTTGCCACCCCCGAGATGGGTGGTGCGCAACCGGAAGGGTGGAGCAGCGGTGGTGCCTAGAAGCGGCGAAGCTTTGCTGTCTGGGTGGGTCGTTTTTCGGTTGGGCACGCCCGTGGCTTCGGTTTTCCTCTGGTCTTGTTCTTTCACACCACACGAGCCGAAAAAGAAAACCGCTTGTATGTGTCAATGTAAGGCATGGTCCCAGTTGTTTTGGACGCATCAAATCAGCTGCACCGCCGCTTCTAATTTGAAGGGCAGGAGTGTGTTGTAGGAGCGGCCGCGCAAGTCAAACATGAGGCTGCGCAAGTAAAGCGCAAGTGAAGCGCAAGTGACGCAGTGATGACTCATCATCATCATCAGCAGCATCATCATCATCACCATGGCCCAAAGATTAACACGTTTTCGCGCAAGTCGCGCGCAGCCCCCCAAACTGCTAGGAGCAGGAGTGGCCCATTTCTGAATTTTGCATTTCTTTTTCTGCAGATCCCAGCAACTTTGCCGCGTGAATTTGTTAGCAGAAAATTTGCAGCGGTGTAAACACATGACACCTCATACACCTAAAGGATCCTAAAGGGGCATGCTATCGGGGGACCTCATGCTTATGAAGACCGCCGCTTGGATTTGCAATGAAAACAACTTGGGATCAGAGTTTTAATGGGTTTATTGTTCCAGCTCAAAAGGGTAGCCTCAAAAAGACAGAGGTGTTGGTTTGTCTCACTTGCCCCTTCAGCAAATCGACTTGACCGTATGGTTTCCCTCTGACACCATACTGTGGATGGGCGAACTCCTGCACCGATTCCCCTGTAACCAACGATTCCGATGGCCCGCAAGGCTTGGGATGCGTCCAAACCCATGACTTGCAAAGCTTCGCATAGAACTCTCCCGATCATCCCCCCAAAAAAACAACCGAGCTTCAGTCTTGGTGTCTTCTTTCGATTTCCTCATAACTGGGGTCTCCAAGTAACATCGAGCCGGCGGAGCCGGTTGGTGGAAATGCTGAAATATGAAGAAGTATAGTTATCTGTCCCTTTATCGTTGGTTCTCTCTCTCTCTCTCTCTTTCCTTTTTTTCCCCCCTGTCTCTCTCTCTCTTTCTATGTCTCTTTCTCTTTTTGTCCCTTTACTAATAGTTACTAGCCCCTCCCTCACATTAAGGGGGCTGCTTGGGAAGGGGGGAGGGGTTGGGGGATTGTTGACAAGGGTACCTTTCTAGGCTTAATGTTGTTGATACCCCTCCTGCAAGTGGGGTGCATACCCAAATGGGCCGGACAGGGGACAGGGAGCCATTGGTGAAGTTTACTAGCTTCAAGGTGAGTCACAATCAAAACCCAGGTAGATGAAGGGTAAGGGACAACCCCAACCATAAATGGATGCGGATATCCGCCTTTTAGATTCCTCACATGTTTCTGGGCTGGGACCACTTTTACCCATCGAATTATTTTGGCTTTCGCGCTCCCTTCGAGGACAAAAAGTACCATGAGTACGTCATTGCGCCTGGGGTGGACCCTGGACTGGTGGTCTGCGGAACCTTTGCGCAGCTGTCCCCTGGCCCAAAAAAAGCAGGTGTCCCGTTTCGGTTCATCTCCCCCAAATCCTCCATTTGCTCAATATGTTTTTTGCTTTCGTCTCTTGGTTTTGGAGGGAATCCGTCGCTGTTGGGATTAGGCGGTGGAAGAAAACTGTTTTTGTGATCGGGGGCACACTCAAGTTGAAGCAGAACCTGAAACTCTGTTCCGTCCGATGTGGGCCAACTGTGGCTTTTTAACTTATAATTGTTTAGGCTGATGAGTTGGCCCTTGGTTGGGTGATGTTTAACGAGACAATATACGGGACCCGGCATTTTCAACAACCGGAGTTGGCCCCACCCTGCAGTAATGCAGGCAAGGGGCAAGGGGGGCCCCCAATATAAGCATTTACCATATAAAGGTCCCCTTCCTATGCATTTCCCCCTAGCTTTGCAAGCAGTCTGCTTGCTCCCCCCCCCCCCCCCCCGAAACTAACTGGAACCAAAAAAAAGCCTCCACTCCAGAAATCATGGAAGTTGAGGTGCGAGTTCTGACTAGAATGTTAGGAAGCTTTAGCTGGGTGCTAAATCGCCCAACGTCTCAATTAAAGTGGCAGTGTTTCTCCCAGACCTATTTCCAGATAGGGTAATTAACCCATGCTGCTGTGGATGGACGAAATCCTGCACCACCTGCACAACCTGGAATGCTGATTCCCCTGTAAATAGCAACGAACAGTGGTGTCAACCATGGTTTCAAAGCGGTGCCAGATGGATTTTGTCCACCCACAGGAGAGGTTTTAGCAGACCTCACATGTAGCTGACATTTTCTTACGAATATGTTGTTGTATTAATTTTCCCTTCTTGGTTTTAAAGGGAATCTATCACACTATTTTTTGGTGGTAAGGAACAAAATGCAATTCCAGGGGGGTACAGGCTTTGCACCGTCCACATTTTCAGACTGCCATCCGGCCTTTTGACGGCCTGGTTGGGCATACGCCCTTCCAGGGGTTGGTTAAGCAAATGCAAGGTACCTAGACTCTCCTTCTGACCCTTAAACAATGGTTGGTCATCGTTCAAAATCAAGGGGTGACCCCTTGTTCTAGGGGTCAGAAGGAGACTAGGTCAGTTTTTTTCCCGCCCGGGCCAGGCTGGCGTTGGACGAGCTCCGACTCAGCAGCTGACCCAATACCTGAGCACTAAACTCGGCATGAGGATTCGGGCCGCGTTTCCGGCGACCAAACCGGCGACCCCGGGGAAATGTTGACTACTCTTTGGTTTGACCAAGGCATTTGTTTTTATTGTTAGTGTTTTCATTTTGTTGTGTTTTGTTGTTGTTTTTTTTTGGGGGGAGGCAGCCGAAGACCAACCCAGTCAGTCGCTCTTTTTTAGGATTGGGTTGAAAGAGGACCCTGGGGAAGCCATTCATTTCAAGATAAACTCGCCTGAGACAATCAAGTCCCATACTTACAAATAGTCGCCGAACAGTGGCCTAAGCAGTCTACGATTTAGGATGGAGAATTGGAGTTGGTTTAAAGCGGCGTTCTGTGGTCCGCGAGAACCTCAAGTGATAAAGAAAACCCACTTCAGTATCACTGGAAGTGCTACTTTCCACAACCAGAGACGCTCTAAATGTCCAAGCAAAAACACGCCCGGGACGTACTAGTTTCCCTTGCCCTTTAGGGTGACCACACATTTTGGAGAAGGTCGAATGGTTGTGTGCGTGCGTCAAGGATTGGCCTCCCCATTGTCATGTTGGCTCCCCTAATTAACGTTCGGGCAACAGGGCTGCTAAGTCGGTGCGCGCTGCGCGAACAAATGTTCCGCATTTGTTCCGCCTTGGTATTGCAACAGTCTTCCCTACGTGACTGTATAAGAGGCTGAAAGAGATAGTTTATCCGTAGGGTCAGGGAATGTCATGGATAAATTGTAAATTCCCTTTTTATCTCTGCTAGAGCCCCCAGTAGTACCCTTCGAAAAGGGTTCTCCTACTAAAATCGACTACAGAAAAGAACTGGTACCCTTATTCCAACCTCTCAAATTTGGAGGACCTTGTCTGCAGCGCCCCACTCCATTCCTATTTTTTCGGCGCTTGCAGCTACCGGGGCCGCCCGGCCGGCCGCTGGTTGCGGCTCCAACACACCGGTTGCAACGAGCGGAAAGCGATGGATCCCGATAGGGAAGACCTTCTGCGGGGCTTGGCTGCTGGTTCCGGAAACCGAGTATTGAAATGGGTATACCTGGACTCTCCATGACCCTTAAAAAATGGGGACATTCCCAAAATAATGGGGTCATGACCCCTTTTTCTGGGGGTCACGGAGACTCTAGGTAGTGTTAATTCTATCCTGGATCGGCGCCCGAAATGGCTTCCTTTCCCGAATTCGCCAAAAAAAGCGATGCAAAGGGAATGTAAAGGACCACTTTTAAAAAATCCACACCCTTATTGTTGAGCGCTGATGCGCTTGTTTGTTTTGGTCGGTCGGCGGGGAAAGGGGGGGGTACCCTAGACCTCCATTTGCTTAAGTCCGCTAGAAAGACTAAACATATTTCCAGTAGTGATGATTCCCTTTAAAACCAACAGGGGAAAATAAAAATAAAATCCTTTCAGCAAATGGAAGTAGAGGTGTAGAGCACATGTCTTCTTGAGAAATCTCTAGAGGTTCAGAGGGCAAGCTATCAGGGCACGCAGCCAAACGTCTGGGACCCCGTGCGCGTCCGCCGGAGCTCCGGTTGCTGGGCACTTCCGGCCTTCGAATCCGGTTGCTTCATGCAAGCACTGGGGATCCATACTGCGAATGGGCGAAATCCATTTCGCACCACCCAAGAAGCAATGAGAACCATTGTTCGTTGGCATTTACAGGGGAATCATCATTCCCATGGTTTCTTAGGTGGTGCGAAATGGATTTCGTCCATCCACAGGTTCAGAAAAGCCATGACTCTGAATTAAGCATTTGCTCCCTACTTCATGCTAGTTTTGGGGTCCCGAATCCATTTAAAAGGCTCTTCTTCCGACCAGGTGCCGTGGCTTTCCTTGGTCGGCTCACGTCATGAGGTTTTTGGTCATAGTTTTTGCAAAGACCAGTGGAGTGGCCAAGACTAGAGTTCGCACTTTGCCCCCGATCCACTCCGGGGGGTGAAAGCAGGAAGCTCATGTACCAGACTTGGCTAAAAAGCTAACTATTTGGCTGAATCCCGAATCTCTCGCTTTGGGAAAGGAACAGTTATTTTTGTGTTTTTCCCACATGGGCCTGTCATTTCTTGCGGGACACCGCCAAATGGCTGTGGCTCAAAAAAACGGTACCAAAATCAACCCTGGTGAGTGGAAACTTGGACCAAAACCTGCGTAACCCCTCCTGTTTAATTTTGAGCCACACCCAAATGGGTTTCTTCTTTTTGGTTGGACAGAAAACAGCTTTTCCATTTCCCGCATTTTTGGGGGACCTGCCTTCCCAGGTTGCAACAGTTGGTGGCGCAACCAGCCATCCGGTTCCTTAGCTTTTTAGCCTTTTAGTGTTTAGTGGGGATTTCCATTTAACGTTTAGTGGGGATTTCCATTTAACCCACTTCAAGTTTATTCTTTTAGCGGCGGATCTGAGGACAGCCCAGAGTTGAAATGCCGGTCGCGTGCCCAGCCAATGAAATTTTGAGTTGCCGAGAATTAAGTCTTTCGAACTCTGCAGGCTTTCGCGCAGGTCGGGCTTTGGGGCACGTGGTTTTGTTCTCGGGTTTTGTTCTTCCCATCTAGGTGCCCTTCCTAACCCCTTTTTTGGTTGGGAGGGTTCCCCTACTAAAAGAGGCTACAGAAAAAAGGGTACCCTTATTCTAACCTCTCTACTGGAGAACCTAGCCATGGGCACTGTCCATGGTTATCTTTTTGTCAATCGTCGGATGCTTCAGCGAAAGTATTGATTGGCATTAGGTTAAATCTTTGGACTCATTTTTTGGGGAAATCAAGGGGTTTCCACATAGTTAAGCTTTTGCAGAGGACTCAACAGCAACCAAGAAGTGGTGCAACATTTTTCAGCTAGTTGGCCCCGCCCTGCGAATCGTGCACAAGCTGGAGATTCTAGCTCGCTTGCTCGTGCGCGGTGCATGCATTGCATGGCCTAAGCAAGGCTATGTTGCACTCTTAATTGAAAGAGTCAGGCATGGAGCACTGCGGTGGTGATTGCTAGTAGAAAATCATGTTTCATAAACTCACATTACTCAACATTCACGGTATGAAAGGGGGGGGGGTTGGACCTGCCCTGAAGGGACTCGCGACTCTGCCGGTGTTTCCTCTGTAAGTCTGGGATTTCCGGTTCGATCTTTGTGTGCTCATTCCACGGCCTCTCGTTGAGCTTCTCGGAGACGTCCCATCAAGGCCCCCAAGCTAGTTACTCGTTTCTTGGCTCGTTGAACTCAGCAACATTGTATCACCCTTGGGGCATTGTGAAGTTGTTTCAATTCAGGTCAGGGCAATTAGAGCAGGTACTTTTAGAACGGCCAGTTGAGTGGGAAGCACAGAGGGCGCCATGAGATTTAAACAAACAAATGGGGATTGGTGTGGTTGGACTTTGGAGTGCAATCCGCGCAGGAGGTATAGTCGACACATTTAGGGAACAATCGCGCTTCCTATTTTGCAGCTCGGCCTTTTGTTCCTCTCGACTCGCCTGCAGTGCCCAGCGGTTTTTGCCTCACTTTCCACCGACTGAAGTTGGATGAATTCGAAGCTTTGTCTCGATCCGATTTTGCCCTCGCAGATGGAGTTCCCCAGCCTGCTAATCCATTGGAGCTGTCTCCAGCGTTGTCCCAGCCATGTTTCCGGGATGTGTTTCGTTGACAGCTACTTTGCTCACCAGATCCTTAGTAAGTAAGATCCATTCGGAATGGCCGTGACTTGTCCAGTTGGCTTTCGTTACAGCTGCGTTCGGCTCGTGCGTCAGGCAGGGGACCGAATTTTGTCATTGCGAGGAATCGAACCCTGAGTCGTTAATTCGTGCAATCGAACAGGCCGCCTGGACCTGAAACCTTGACACAACCTTTGACCTTTTGGTTGTGTTCAGTTTTGCCCCATATCTAGTCAAGGTCTCAGAAGGTTAACCTTGTATTTCCAGGTTGTTTGGGCAGGTGAGGACAACCTCACGTCCAATACGATTCAACACGTCTGGGGCTAATGTTGACACCGAACTAAGTAACTTCATTTGGCTGGCTGCTGGCTTTTGGGAGCAATCGAGAAAGTTGGGAGGCTGTCCCGGGGACATGTTTGTGACTGCGGCATTCCCAGCCAACAAGAACTTTGCGAGGAAAGGGGAGGCTGCTTATGGCAGTTGATAGTCTCTGGTTCTAAGGGTGGTTCTGTGAACCATCTTTTTTGCACAAGATATTTGACCAACCCAGATATTGACATCTTCCAAGGTGCCATGTCCAGGTGCACACACCGAACAGTTGCCCAAAGTTGGGGTGGGTCTGCCCATAATTCGTTCGCCCTTGATTCTCGAGGCATACGCCCCGATTCTTCGCAAAGAAGCGAAAGGGCGCAGGTCACTGGCTAGTGATCAGAGGCACGGCTATCCAAAGCTCGTTGGGCTTCAAATCTTAGACTAGGTCTCCCAGCAATTGGTGCCCTTTGACCGTTCCTTTTTTGGGGGAGGGTTCCCCTACTAAAATAGACTACAGAAAAAGAATGGGCACGCTTATTCTATCCTCTCTACTGGAGGACCTAGTAGGTCTGTCCTCCATTGTCCTATTTGTGTTTGTCAGTTGTGTGCGGGACTGGGTCAGAAGTTATGGTAAGCCTTAGTTGGTGGTTTGGATTGGTGGTTTGGGGATTTAAACCCCTGGTTCTTGTAGAGGAAGAGGGTATATGGGAAACCCTTTTTTCCACCAAACCACCAACTAAGAGGAAGCTGAATAGACATGATTGGTTTTGTGTTTGCTTTCCTTCCCAAGGAAGGGTCCAAACACAGAGCATCCTTCAATTGTGGATATATCTGCGGAGTTTCCCTTGCGTTTGCTCCGTACTCTGTCTAAGCCGCTCTTCTAGCCGTTTTGCCCTTGAAACTGTTCAAACACCGCGTTTCGTATCTAACCTGTCAAAATTGGGAGCTTTACACTTCTTGGATTCGCAAGCTTTACACTTGGTCACTTGCTGGCAGGCGTTTGCATCATTTTCTTCAACTGCCAATCCAGTCAACGCAGCAGGTCAGTATTAGGGTATATGCTTGTTTAAAGGTACATTTTTGGACGCGACAAAAAGGGACGACACTTTTTCAGGGTTCCCTGCAATTTGATACAAAGCACTTTTGGAGCCAGTCTGAGGCCCAACGAGTTTCGAGACAGCCACCATTTTCCCGCAGTTGCATGAAGGGATGGCTGCTTCGCAAGTTTTCGATCAGATCCCACGCCCTCCGCTCGCCGATTCCAGTCTAGAGCCGGGTGGGCAAAATTTGATCAGAAGAGAAGACAAGGGATCCTTGAGGGTCTCAGAACCAGAATTAGTTCAGTGGCACCCTCTAGTTGAATTTATTTTGTTGTTTGGGGACAACTGCAAGAAGGGTCCCCTTTGTATACCAGGCTCACCAGTTTTGTCGATGTCTTGAGCGTTTGGGCCTTTGAACGTCACCTGTGGGTAAAAATGCTCTTTTGATTGCACTGAACTTCCGAGGAGAAAAGCAAGTTGCCTTGCCCGTTTTCGCAAGGAATTGTTGATGAACACGGCATCCTGTGCATCCAGTGGCTCAGGATCTTGACGTTTCAGCCTTGCAACAGGTTGCCATAGAACCACGTTAGTTGGTGGTCTGGATCGGTTTGGGATTTGAACTCGCGGTTCTTGTAGAGGGTAAATGCTTAGCATCATTACAGCAAGGATAGCTGTTGGGCGTCCGCCGTCTCTCTGCACCAGTTGTTACATGCTGATTCAGAGTGGATCTGCCCTTGAGCCATTGCAGCCTCGCAGTCAGGTACCCATAAAGGTTCTGAAAATCGGGCCAGAACCTTTCCATGTCTCCCCTATGGCCCATGCTTCTGTCTCAGCATGGCCCACAGTTGGTATGGATCTATCAAGGGAACCAAGAGGCAACCAACCACCTGGAGCGGTCACCAGTTTGGAGACAGATTGGTTGCAAAGCGTTTCAGACTGGTTGGTTCTTTGGTTTTTGGGGTCGTGGTGTCTTTTAGTCTTGAGTTGCGTGGGCTATCTTTTTCGGTTTGAAGTTGCTTGGGGGTCGGCGGGAACATCTGGAGGGAAGTCCCGACTTTGGGCTGCATGGTAGCACGGGCAGCACCTGACGCCCGCTAAGACCGATTTCGCGGACAAAAAATATCGGCTTTCGCCGGGCGCTGGATTCTAGGGTCCAACATAGGCAAGGGGCCAACCCCCTTGTTTATGCACATGTTTAAACCAATTGTTATTGTTGAACCCACATCTGGGATCTGGATTTTTCACCACATGTTGGGATCCATTTCCCTGTACATTAGGTAACCAAGGGAACCACCCTTTTACCTACTACAAGGGTAGCTGGGATACACTGGATTCTTAAATCGCGAGTTGTTGAACCAAGATCCGGGATCTGATGGTTTCACCACATGTTGCCCAAACGACCAACTATTTGTTGAAAAGTCTGCAGTTGCTAGGTCCCCCAGTAGTGCCCTTTTTTTGGGGAGGGTTCCCCTACTAAAATAGACTACAGAAAAAAAGGTACCCTTATTCTAACCTCTCTACTGGAGGACCGAGTTGTTGAACAGTCTGCAGTTGGTTCCCTTTCAATTTTAACAGGGGCCAGAGGTGGGGAAGGGCAGTGACTCGCCAGGGCAGTGACTCGCCAGGGCATTGACACGAGCACATGACCGGAGTTTGGCATCACTTGCTGGCGAAAAGACCTAACCCCTTCTTTATTGCCTGCTGAATATGATGTGTTGTGTGATTGCTGGTCCGTGGGGAAAGGCCCCAAGCAGATAGCAGCCATGTTTCGAAGGAAACGTCAGCTAAGCTGTGTCTGTGTTTGCTGTTAACTAACTTCCAATTTCCAGGGTTTTGTCAAGGGTATTTCCAGGTGGGTTGCTTGCAGGTGTGGAGGTTATATGTAACTTAAGCAAGGGAGTAGGGCAGCACATCATATGCCCTAACAAGCGCGTGGAACAAGCAACGCCACACCTCCAAACAACCCACCTGAAAATGCCGAAAAGGGTTGTTTCTCAAAATGGACTTCTTCTGTTTGGTACGGGTTGAGAAGGAAACCGAAAGGAAATCAACCACCTGAGCAGTGAGGCACTGGCTACCTCACCGGAGACGTGATCGAGTGTGTGCCGAAGGCTGCTGGCCAAAATCCCATTGGGAGACAGAATCTCAGTTGTTCAGTGGCACCCTTTTCCCTTTCTTTTGGGTGAACAACTGAGGAATAGCTATAGGCTGTTTCTTGAAAGGGCTTAAAAATGGGAATTCATAGGTCGTAAGTTGACAGAGTTCTCCAAGGGGTGCTATTTCGGAAACCCTGCTAAAGAGCTTTTAAGTGTCAACGTTTGACCAACAAAGGATGCATTTGCAACGGAAAACCAGGTTTTTCCGAAATCTACAGAAAACTGGGTATTCGGAGGGGGTCAACTTCCCGTTGAGATCCGTTGGCACTTCTGTTGGTAGGCTGCTTCGTCGGTTTAGCGGCCCAACACACACAGCTTGTCGCTTTTTCTGGCCAGCAAGCTCAGCATGGTACACATTACTTGCAGTCTCTTGGACAGGTTGCATGGGGGTGAGCTGAGGGTTCAAAAATGCGATCGCGTCCCAAGAGAAAGCATGTCCCCATGCTCAACGGGTCAGAAGGATACTCCAGGCAAACACATTGTGCTCTTGTTTTTCTTCGAGTTTTTAGGTACTTATATTAGCTTCCCCCTAAGCGGTTTGGATTGGTGGCTTGGATTTGGATTGGTTCTTGTTGAGGGATAGGAAGGTCATCCCTCAGCCACCGGGCTCCGGGCTCCAACCCCTCCCCCCCCCCCACCACTGGGTCGCGAGGTGGTGCCCGTGAGCAGCTTCGCGGCAGACGGGCGCGGAAGCTCAGCTAAAGCGAGCGCCTAGGGGGGTGATTCCTGTTCATTTTGTAGGGGCCTTCAAGCTTACCTCTTAAAAACACCACTTTCGTAACTTTTTGGGGATAACATGGGCTACATGTCTGTAAAAGGTTAACTTCCCCAATCCTTGGAGTTTTAAGGGGTAAGTCAAGTGTCAAACCAAGCCACAGTTTTTTGTTCCCATTCAACGCTTATGTGTGACTGACATGCCGCATATTTTTTAAAGACAGGCTAGACACACTCCACCTTAGTTTTCAGACATGCGAGGAACCCTGATCAAGGAGGGATTCTTGCTGGTTCCCAGTAATCTAGGGCGTGATTCCTGGTCCATTCTTTTCAATCATCGCTCTTTTCAATCACCGGATCGATCCGATTCCAACCTGCGTTTTTGATGCCCGGGAAAGAAGGATCCCTGGAAAGAATGGGGAAGGTAGCTGGGTGAATTTGGGGTGGTTCCTACCACAGGGTCGGGTGGAAACCACCAGAGATTTTTCGCGCGGGGCCAGGAATTGGCTGCAGGTTTTTTGTTTTTTTTTGCTTAACGCTGGATAACCACAAGAATATGCTGGAGTTGGGTGCAGAGCTGGAGATGTCTGTTGTTGTTTTTTTGGTTTAACTTTTTGGAGAAAACACTGGAGAACCAAAAAGAAAACCAAAGTGGTGCGGCAAAGGTGATCTTCACCGGATATCCTTCACCCCTTGCCCACCTATTGAACACCCGGTTTAGCTTTCGCCTTCGTGGGGTCCAAAGGCGAAGTTGCTGCCACCGTGCGCAGGCTCGACTTCCGAGACTTCCTCTTTGTGGTGGTGGACCAGTTGAGCTACCGCGCCCTCAAGGAGCCTTTGTCAATCAGCGAGACATCGCTTGGGCCAGTTGCCTCACCCCAAACGCATTTGGGTTGTAACCCAAACTTGGTGGGTTCAGGAGAATTTGGTCAGGGGCAAGTGCTGTCGGGTGCTAAGATCTGTTTGACGTTGTCTCCAAATATTCAACCCGCACACGGGTTCCCCAACCAACAGGGCGCCCCAACAGGAAAAAAACACTTGTTGAGGGTCCCCAAAAGGAGAACTGGGGTGGACTCAGGATACATTGAACATTTTACCATTGACTCAAAGTGAAGCAAGCAATAAGATATTTGCATTCTATAACTGGGCCTATATATAACTCTAATTGTGGAAAGCTGGCATGTTTTGCCCCTCTTTCGACCAATCCCAGCCGCGGATTTGTTGTTCGTGGGGGAACAATGTCCGACCCAGACCGCACAGGACCTGCGGAAGCGGAAGAAGCTGCTGGTCCGGGACCAAACGCATCAAGATGAAATCCGTGCGCTGCTTGGTTTGCTCATTTTTTCCTGGAAACATGTGGTTTTCCCTCCTCACTCCCTGAGTTCATGGACTTTATACTTTTTGGGAAGACCATTTTGGTGGTAAACAAAAAGTTTGGACTTTTTTTGGCCAATCAACTCAGGAAGCTGCCTCAGGTTGCCCTTCAAACCAAGGTGAACCATGCCACCCGCCAAGGCAATACACATACCAAAAACAGAATTACACCAGAAAAAAGTTGGTACCCTTATTCTAATCTCTCTACTAAAAAACCTAAAATCCGTGCGCTGGCTGGTTTGGTCATTGACTTGCTGGTGCTCAGGGTGTCGGGATTGACCCGTTTAGGAAACCATAGGGGAGGTTGTTTTAGGGGTCATTCCCTCATTCTCTGCTGAGACCAAGCAAGTTGCTTTGGCTAGGGGTCATTATGTTGACCGTTTCTGGTGATCGAACTCAGAAACTGGGGTGACTTTGAAAATGATACACTTCCATTTGCTTAAGAATATTTGTGATTTTCCCCCTGTTGGTTTTAAAGGGAATCTATCACTATGGGACATATTTGTTTCAGTTCTGACGCCCTTTTGCCTTTTGCCGCCACATCTTTTGGTGGAAAATCCACCCAGGTTTGTGGACACCTTGCTGATTTTCCCATGGTTTTGGTGGGTCTTTTACTCAGACCAGGGACAACCAGCGGTCCGCAGGAAATCCGCGAAGTCGGATCCGCTAGGCCCTCATGGGCGGGGGCGCTGGCACCTCCCTCGCCGTGGAGCTACGGAACCTCGAGGAACGCGCGAGGACGGCCTTCGAGCGCGAGCCGGCGCTGGCGAGCGAGAAATTTTGGGGCGAATGGTGCGGGGGTCGTATCTCTGCTGCGTTTTGCCAAGGGATGTTAGGATTTTAACTGTTTGCCAACTAAAAGTTTTCCGCCACTTTTAGCAGGGGAGCAGAAAGCAACCGAGGTAAGTCACCCCGCGGCGAAGCAGATTTTTTTGTGCCTAAGTAGTTTCCTTTCCCGGCAAGATTTGTGTGTGTGTATTTTATTTTTATGTTTGTGTGTTTTTTGGGGAGGGATTAGTGTGTGTGTGTGTGTGTGTGTGTGTTTTTTTGGGTGGAGGGGTCCCGCTTTTGGAGACTCCAAAGGTGGGGATTTTGGTGCGAGAAAATCTGGTCAGGTTTTTTTGGCTTTGGGCCGTTCCTTTTCGCCTGGCGTCAACCCTTTTGTTCTGGGCTTGTCAAGCACGAAATGAGAGGACGATGGAGGAAAAGGGTTACCCTATCCACCTGGAATCTGACGAGTTCTGCGCGGACCGCTTTCTGAGAAATCCGTTCAGTTCCATTTCGGAGCGCTAAGGTTTGTGGTTGATGGCAGGCTATGACTCAGCGTCTGAATGATTTGAGTATGCCCATATGTGCCAAACTATCAGTTTGGGGGTTCTTGAGCCAATATATACTGTTTTGATGCACCATGCTACGCAAGTTGTTGGGCTCAATGTTTATTTGCCATGGACATTGTTAGTTGTAAACCACAGGTCTGCACTTGTTTTTGCCAATCCACTCAGAAAGTGCGTTGATTAGTAATCAGCTCCCGGACAGAGTAATTCTGTATTTGTTAATGGTGCAATTTGACCGTTTGGCAAAGTTCATCTTTGCAATGTTGCAAGGTGACGGTTTCAGGCCGTCTGGTTGCACGTAAGCTCGTGTCTTGTTTCAGCAAAACCCTCCAACACCTCCGCCTTTCCCCGGTAGGGTTCAACATCATGCATAATACAGGCCAACATTCGCAATGCACTGCGCCTTCTTTACAGCGGGTTTGGCAAAGGGAATTCTTTACCACTCCGCCTTTAAGTACACGTGGTTTGTCTAGGTGGTTTAGCACTCAGCTACCTTTGCTTACATAACTTGGGGTAGAGGTCGAATGACTGGGTTTCTAAACCATACTTACGAGCTTACCATCGGGTGGCCGTGATGCATAAAATGAACTACCGGGATGGGATAGACGATTAGAACCGAGCGAGCCCATGCAAACGTGCGGTGTTCATGTTTTGTCCAAGGGACTCATGCCCACGTCTTCATGTTGGATTATTTTTCAGCTCCTTTTTGTGTTGCTCAGCGCAGGCAAGAGCACGAGGAGAACATGCACGCCGGGATGCCGATGTGAGTTCGCCTGCGCATTACCAAACCTTGAGAGTGAAAATGCAACAGTTGCTCGTGTATTGTGTGACCGTAAGCAAGCGATGTGGTGCATATGTTTCTATTTGCGCGTTATAGAGCGGTTAAGCTTTTCACTTGCCGGAGGATAGATATCAAGCGACAGTCTTCACGACCTTTTAAAAACGGGATTGACTTCCTATTGTTGGTAGATGACTCGCCCATGGTTCAAGGGCTATGGAGACTCAGGTTGACTTTCGGTACTGTTCGCTAAATCGATTTTCATATTCCTCACAATGCCACTGCTCATGCTATATAAGTTCTATTGAGCCGATCGAACCCGTGGTTGGCACCTTGTCCCGGCCGGCCATGGGTGACACGTTTGTCGGGTTCTATAAAATGGGTTCCAATCGCTGCACCAAAGCACAAACATGGTAGCACTCTAGAGACCATTTGCAAACCTAAAAATCACGCATTCTGTTGCCCGAAAGGGCAAGGAGCACCAAACAAGCCAAAACAGCTGAAGTGTTCGCGAGGTTCCTGATGATTGCAGCCAACCATGAAACCAACATCATACCATGAGAAACTACCCACTTGGTCAAGGAGCCTTCAGCATAAAAAGCCGAGGAGTTTCACGGGCAAAATGTAAGATAGTGACCCGGTTGCCAGCCTGGCTGCAGTTCCCGAACTCTGGTGGCCACGGGAAGGCATACTGTTTGATATCTAGTCTAAGGGACATGTTTTTCTGGACCAGAACACTGGGTTGTTTCCCTGTAGCTTCGCTTCACGCAGCAACCAACGGGCCCAGCGTTCTGTGAACCCCCCCCCCCCAATCCCCAGGCAGCACATATTTATGCTGGGGTTGTGCTTTTCAGGGTACCCTGTTTTGGGCGGTTTTGACTTGCTTTTTGGGGCTGTTGTTGGCATTAGTTGTTTTTTGGTTCTGTGCATTTTGAGTGGGGGGGGGCTGTAAAAAACAATGTTTTTTGCTGCCATGCCAAGGGTTGCAAAGGAAGCCAAAGGCAACATCATGTCTGCGCTCATTTTGAAGGGTCCCTGAAAACTTCGACCACCAAGGCGCTCCGCTTTGGTTCGCACACTGTGTCCTTGCGCTATGGGGATGTGGTGCAGCTGACGCTTGGACGATGCAAGGGGTCCATGTTGCAATTGATGGTTGGTTTGTGCGGTTTGGCTTGGTTGTGTGTTTGCTTGCTTGGTTGTTTGTTTCTGTATTTGTTTGTTTGTTTGTTTGTTTGTTTGCTTGTTTGCTTGTTTGCTTGGTTGGTTGGTTTCAAGGTTTCATTGTTTGTTTGTTTGTTTTCTTTGTTTGTTCGTTTGTTTGTATGTTTGTTCGTTTGTTTGTTTACTTGTTTGTCCTTCACTTCTTCCTGGTTTCATTGTTTTTGGTTTGTTCTTTCTTTCTTTCTGTTTGTTTGTCTGTATGTCTGCCTGTCTGCCTGCCTGCCTGCCTGCCTGCCTGTCTGTCTGTCTGTCTGTCTGTCTGTTTGTCGGTCTGTCGGTCTGTCTTTCGGTCTGTTTGTCTGTCTGTCTTTGCTTTGTTTTTGCTGGTTTGGTTGGTTTCTGGCTCTCATCTTTCAGTTGTTCTTGAGTTAGCTTAGTTCTTTTGTTGTGTGGTGGTTGCAAAACATGACTTTATGCCAACCGGTTAAACTGTTTGGACCGGTTTGTTGAGAATGATTCGGCAAAGCGGCAAGCGCGCTTTTGCAGTCTAGCCTATGCCATTGTAGCAGGCATCACACGGACGGTGGCCAAAGCGAGCGATACCCTTTCTCAACATGTGAATGATGTGTTGCTTTGTTGCTTTCCCAATTGTTCAGCGGCAGCCTTGGTCCCTTTTCGTTTGGCAGGTTTCCCCCTAAAATTTAAAATGGTTGACCCCCAAAGGGTTTTCGCTTGCTAAATGATCACTGGGCAACTTTGATTTCTTTTGGCGGGGTCTGCGAAGAAGGTCTTTTGACACTTTGCCGTGTGGCTAAAAGTGTTTAGGAGGGAGTCATTCTTTTATTCCAGCTTGATCTAAACTAGTACTGATCAACGGGATTCCCGCATAAAGGAAGCCAAATCGGGCATGGTTTATACGCTAAGAGTCCTGGGGCTTGGTATGCACCCAGGGGTCCCCGTACACCTAAAGCGTTGCCGCTAGGGGTGTCAAAAGGACATATTTCTGGGCCCCGAATGTCCATCAGGACCCTTAGGGTCATGAGCCCTTTCTCAGAAAAAATGGCTCGCAGGCAGCACGTCCGCACCGGGCTCTACATCGGCGCCGGAACCTTGAATACTTCGCGCCATCGATTTGGATGGGCTTAGAGCTGCCTGGTTTTCCCCTTGGCTTCCGAAAGCCACAAAAAAGGAGGAGCACAAGCGCAAACAATCTGAGAACGAAACCCTTTTTGGCTGGCTTTGTTTGGAGAGCCACACAAAAAGCCTCGCGAAGCCTCAGGTGAGGGGCAAGTTCTCCGCGGAGCACCAGGCCACCTCCCGTCGAGCAGAACTCCAGGACTCCTCGGTCAGCTCGGGACTCACACGCCTTAAAGACGTTTAGAGGTGCGTGAGGGGCATAGGCAGATGTCCGCGTTTTTGGTTTTTGTGTCTTGTTTTTGGTCGAGGAGGGGCATATGGGGCAGATGTCCGCGTTTTTTTGTTGTTTTTGTGTTTTGTCAGAGGCCCCCCCAAAATGGATTTGGTTTTCCTCTTGGGTTCCTGACAAGCCAAACCCTTCTAAGGTACCAATAAAAGAAAAATGAGTCACATATATCTCATTGGCTCCTTGCGTGCATCAAAGGATCGGACGGCTTGCTGGTTCTCAGGGTGTCTGCTTTCTTAGGGGATCCCAAGGGAGAATGCGGTGCAACAGATGGATCCCACATGGCTGCGTGCGTCTTTTTGAGACTGCGGCATTTTGGTTTGATGGTTTTAAAGGGGAACCAAGAGGAAAGCCACAATGTTGGAAGGTCCCCTTCAAAAAGACACCCAAATTGTTCGTTCTCAAAATCACACCGATTTCCCTGATCGCATGAACAAATCGAGGAGTCGACCTTAGACAGCAAAAGCAAGGATGAGTTTCCCGACCTCGTTATTTGCTCCAAACAAATCCGCCCTGGTTCATTGGCCGGATTCTTATCTGGATCCCTTTTGGAGCTTCCATGGAATCGGATGAGGAAGGTGTAATGTTGACCCGGTTGGGTTCGGGGATGCAATGTTAGAGGAGATACGCATCATGCTTGCAGGCAACACACCCTCTGGATATGTAGTTTGCAATGTACCCAGCTGAATGCTACACACCCTCGTTTTTTTTTTTCCCCGGAAGGGGAGGCAAGAACATGGGTTGCAGGGTGGATTATGACCTTCTTTTGGGGGTGGATTCTCACCTTCTTTTGTAGCAAAGTGGCATGTTGGGATCAAAGACCAAGCTAAATCGCTGGACCACGTTTTCCCCCCGAAAGCCTTAGAAACTTACGCGGGCAGATGGACCTAAAAAGGGAGACTTGTTGCTTAGCACCCCGAAAAAACACTCACGTCAAGGGGACTTACAACCATGTCCTTGGCAGACTAGAGCCATGTTGAAGATTTACTTGGTACGGTACAAGGAGTCCAAGCAACTAATTCTCCTATCATGGCTAAGCTTTCAATAGTTCCTCACCACGCACGCACGCACGCACGCAGGCACGAACGCACGCCGCATTCCACGGAAGCCTAGGCCATTCCCAGCGCTTTCTCGTAAACCCCCGTGACATGTCACCAGGATGGGACTATGGCATCTTGGCTTACAGCTCCGAGCTGAGTGAATCGACGCATGCATGGACACAATTCGGTTGAGCCCAAGGAAAGCCACAAGAGGATGACGATACGTAAATAGATATGATAAGCACATCAAGCAGAAGAAGCAGAGACCGATAGATTGTACACAACTGTGTATCTATATATAGATCTGTTATATATTTCCATGTGTATACATATGTATATTTGCTTGAGATCCAGGCCCCCTTTCGCAGGAAAACACTGATAGTGAGCCCGGCGGTTCTGGAAAGCATGGGACCCGTCCCCTGGCCCGAGCCCAACTCACCATTTTGCAGGGGGGTTTTCAGCTGTCCGCATTGTCCCCATGGGTCAATTGTGAAGCAGCATCTAAACTCCGCCCAAAGCTTATCGCCCTTTTCACATTTGGTTTTCCTGATTCGGTGTTCGAGAAGAGGATCACCTTCTATTTTCTGGGTCCCTAAGGGGCAAGTGAGTAAACCTATTGTTGGTGTAGCCCCAGCGCGAAAAATCCGTCCCTATCCAGATTTATCCGGTCCGCGGACTGATCGCTCGCTCCGCCCTTGGGCGAGGTGAACCCCTTCTTCTCGCACCGCACGCAGGGTGAGCTGGTGACTTTCAATGAGATGGCGCCGGGCTGAGCACCCGAGCGCTTGCGCCGGGCCGATCTTTTGCCCAAGAACCTTGAAAGGACCCCCCCCTAAATTGGACGCCCAGGACCAAGGAATCCTTTTTGGCCCTGGCCGTTTGTTCACTGGACCAACAAAGACCCGGTTTGCACCTAACACTATAATTTTCAGGTGTCACTTGCTCTAGCAGGATAGTTGAACCCTTACTTGGGGCCCTTTCCAGCAGGTCAGCGGGCATTTTTCCTTTTTCCGGATCTGCGGAGTCGCTACTTGGGCCAAGCGACCTCACGTGAGGAAGTTCTTGCTAATTTAGATCAAACCGAGTTATAAGCCAACCACCTGAAGGGTCTCTTGCTTGAGAAACACAGCGGCGAGGCGAGTTCGAATTTTCTCAAAGCACAGATTGCCCAGGTGTCGCTGGAAAGTGTCCCGGACTCGGTCTCGTATCTGCTTCGCAGGCGACCTCGTCAGTTTCCATAGCTAGAGCACTGCCCTTTTACCCTTTTTTGGGGGAGGGTTCCCCTACTAAAACAGACTACAGAAAAAAGGGTACCCTTATTCTAACCTCTCTACTGGAGGACCTGCACAGCGTTTACAGAAAAGGCAGGAAGGTTGCGTGTGTGTTTTTATTTGTGTGTAGCCTTTGTTTGTTGCATGCTTCACAGAGCTGATATTAGACGGATGTTTCGAGATCCTATGGAGCTGATGTGCTCATCTCGATTCCAAAGGTATGCTGGACAGCTTCCATCAGGGGCCTGGTGAGTTCCATGTGAGGTGCAAGGGTAACGGGCAGTCGAATTCGCAACTCAGTACTTTTTGGGAGGGCATGGGGGGTGGAAGCCGATATCCACAATGTTCTGCAAAAAAAAAGGGCCGACTCAAACGAGCCATTCGTAAGTTGTATTCACTGTTTTGTTGCTCATGTACCCACCCCCTTTGAAACCAGCGCAGTTCACGTCTATGGGCCTTTGCATGTACTTAGCTCCGATGAAGCGAGCGCAAGTGGTCGTGCCGCCTAGCTGGTCAAGCATTTCAGTGCGACATCTCGCGTGACCTTTTGCTCAAGAAGTTGAAATCCAAGAATGTATCTTATCCCACTTGCCTTGAGCAGAAGTTGGGCCTGGCACATGGTTTCCACGGATGCCGAAGCTTCAGGAGAAATTCCTTGAAAGGCAGTGCCAACCCACAAGACGCCAAGTTGCGATTGGACAATGATGCAGAGCCCCGCTCCTTGGCTGCCCTGGTCGCCGCCGGTCAGGACGGCAACTTGTCCTTTACCTCCAAGCCATGAAGGTTGGGTTTGTTGAACTGCTTTGTAGCCAAAGGTGTCTTGCTCGCGGGCTTAGAGCCAAATTTCTGCGATAGCAAGGTTATAAGCAAGGGAGTGAAAAAGTGATGACATGTAGTTACAGGAGCTTCCCATCTTGGTATCACAGGCCGGGTTATTTTCCCTGCTCGTGTTTGTTGCTGACCCGCACATGTTTGAGCAAGTATCTTGTGTGTTGGAGCACCAGGACGCCGCCGGTGCGTTCCCGGGTGGAGGGTAGACGACAGGCGGGGGAAGGGGAACTGACTGTCAAAGGCTTCCTGCAAGAGGAGTTGCTCCTGAAATATTCCTGCAAGCACTAGCCATACCTGGGTGTGTCTTGTTTTAGGGAGCCCTTTGTTCAGAGTGCTGCAAGGAAACCACCTGGCAACTCTAATATTCTGCTTGCCAGCCTTCTTCATTCGTTTCATGGGCTGACAGTTCTTCATTTAACCCTCACCGCCATGAAGTTGAGGTTGAGAGCCTTGCTGAGGTCACTTTCTGTGAATAGTTTGTGGGCCACTCATGCAATTTTGTACTCACACACACTCAATGCCATTTGGCTCCAGAAAACACATGTTTTGTCTCACAATTGTCATTTTGATTCAATACTATCCAGCAATAAATCGAGCTTGCGGAGAGTTTGCGGCCTCGAGGATATTCGAGGTATTGCGGGTGTTCCGAAGGACAACACAACCACCGTTGTCGGCGATGCCAAAGAAACCCCTCGGTTTCTCAGGTTATCAGCCGTAGGGTTTGTCCCACGTGCTGTGAGACAAAAGATTGATTCGATTCGAGAGGTCTTGCACCCAGCTTCATACTGAATCAACCAATAAATGTATATATATATATATGTGTATCTATAGCCAAGTGGCGCAACGCTTACGTGACAATGTCCGATGGGAAATCTTCGATTACATTCGCCGCACCTGCTGCCGGAATTTCATCTCAAGGAACGCCGGAATCAGCGGGTCATCGGAGCTGAGACACTATCGTGGTAAGTGCTGGGCCTGCGGCAGCAAGGCAGCAGAGTGATACCGGCGTTGATCAGACCATGGGAGCAAGGGCTTCCTCCCGGTCGAGAGCCGTCAGAAGAAGATGACGGGCGGACACGAGTCCGTAAATCTCGTAAGGGAGAAAAGTCATTCTCCCCAAGGGGCCCCCAGAAGCGCGGATCAACAATTCGATGATGATTTACGGAAAGCCCAACGGAAGGCGGAAGTACAGATGAGCGAAGCTGCTGAACAGCATGATGAGAACAATGCATTGAAGGAGGAATGAGCGTCATTACGATCATCTGTAAAGAGCTTTGAATCCGATGAGGCGGGAAGCCGGCAAAGGATCCTAGGGCTCGAAAGAAAGAATCATACCCTGGAATCCCAAGTTGCGCATGTTCATGGGAGAATGAGAGATGAGTACAACTTGGCGATGGACCAGCTAAACATAAAATCAAGTAGGTTGAATAAGCTCGAAGCAACGCTCAACAGTTACGAGCGAAAACACCGTGAGATCTCGACTTCGTTACGGAAAGCAATTGAAGCCAGCAATGAGTATCAATCCATGATCAACGCTGGTACCGATTTACGGACCAAGTTGAGAAATGAGAACGAACGTCTTCGAGAGAAGATGAAGCAAGAAGAGTCGACGATGCAAGCCAAGTTGAGAGGTGTGGAAATGTACCACAACAATACAGTCACCAACGAAGATGGGCAGATCCAAACCTCGAGGGATCAGATACAACACTTGTCCGGGAGCGAATCAAGGGAAGAATGGTTCCGATCTGCCGAGAGGCTGGCCGATCAGAAGGCTGAAGCTATGAAGCTTCAGTTCACCAGCGAGGCGAGAATGCAGTTGAACGATGTTGAGGCTAAAGCCAAGCTGGAATTGGACCGCTTAAGGAGCCATTTGAGCCGAGAGGAGACAGCGGCCTCCACTCTGAGGAGCGAGCTATCCGAAGCCAGGAAGGGGAGTCACGGCGTGCCAGTCTCCACCGAAATGGCAGAGGAGCAAGAAGAAGATGAGCTGGATCGAAAGCATGGCTCAGAATCAGTACGGTGCCCTTCAGAGACAATACGAATCTATGCAGCAGTTCAATGACAGTCTCCATGAGAAAAGCATGGGGGGTCCAAAATCTGAGTACTTGACTGCCAGGGACAACGAGAGAAAGGCAGAGGACGAAGCCAGGGAGTCGTTGATAAAGGCTCGAAAGGCAGAATCCAGAGCACAGACTAGGGACGAAAAGTCAGAACAACTGCGTAGCACTTGTGACAGGCTCAGGAACCACAGGAATGAAGTACAAGATGAGCTTGACGAATTGACCGAGCGGTACGATGAGCTAGTCAAAGACCAATCCGTTGCACTCCCAGGATGAAATTCTCCACCACAATTTCAACGCCTCTGCGCAGATGCCTCAAAATGAAGCATACTGCATGGGGGGTGTGAATAGTTTGTGGGCCACTCATGCCATTTTGGAATAATACACACTCAATGCTATTTGGCTCCAGAAAACACACGTTTTGTCTGACAATTGTAATTGTGATTCAATACTATCCAGACATAAATTGAGCTTGCGGAGAGTTTGCGGCCTCGAGGATATTCGAGGTATTGCGGGTGTTCCGTAGGACACCGGGGATACCAAAGAAACCCCTCGGTTTCTCACTTTCTATGCCCTGAGGGTTTCTTCTCAAAGCTTTCTCTTGCCATCCAAAAAGGGCTTAGCGAGCACAGGCCTGCGCCCTGCGTCCTTTTTTGGCAGGGGGGCCCTTTCAAATCAGCGATCCGAAAATGAGTGCCCTTTCCCCTCCACTGGGGCTTGGGGTGAGTGAACAACCTATGTTTCATGTTGGTTTCCCGTGATGGCCATGCGCTGGCAATGCCACTTTCCCAAAGGGCTCAGATCCTTTTCCCTGGTTCTGACAGGATTTGGTCCTCTGAGTGACTTCGCGGGCAGGATCTTGGATTACGATTGGTCGGGCCTCCATTTGAAACCGCGCAGTTTTTGGACATGTCAACATGCGCCCTTGTCGTGCCCTATGCGCCGATCCGAAAGATGATGGGCATTCCTTTTCTTTCGGGTGTCCACGGTTCTATGCTTCATTGCCAGGCTGAAATTGTGTTTTTCTCCTAGCAAAACACACATGTTCGGTCGCTGGTGATGTTGCCAACCACGTTGATGCGGGAACTTCAGACTTGATACTTCTGGGAAACATAGTTTCCCACTACACAGCAAGCACGCTTGATTGTTTCTGCACAATGGTTGGAGCCGCTCAGACAACCTTACCTCCTTCTGGCAATCCCCCCTAATCGGTGGTTTGGTTTGGTGGTTTGGGGATTTGAGCCCCTAGCCTTTGGTTGTAAAGTCTTCCAAGACCCTTAAGTCTTCCAAGGCCCTGTGAGCTTCCATGATTCTTGGAAGGAGTGTAGACTCACTCGAGGTGCTGGAGGTCATCCTTCTTGGGTTTGGACCATTTGAGTGGCAAAGAACACTACATCCCCCAGTAGTGCCCTTTTGCCCGTTTTGGGGGGAGGGTTCCCCTAAATAGACTACCGAAAAACGGGTACCCTTATTCTTACCTCTCTAGTGGAGGACCTAGTTATGGCAAGCCCCGACTTCCGTTGGCCACTCCGGACGTGTCCAAAGCTGAGGGTCTGCCGCGCCCGAGACCCGAAACCAGGCAGCGGCTGTCTCGGCGCTGGCCGCAGGCCT